CGTGGGCGGGTTGCAAATCTTTGGTTACGCCATCGCCTTTGGCGGCGTGTGCTGGTACAACTACCAGAAGCTGAAGGTAAGAAGCGGACGGTGGTGAGTGAGTTGGGGGTAGTGAATGTGTGGGGGTGACAAACAGACAGACAGACAGACAGACAGACAGACAGACAGTCAAAACATAAATGAAACCCCCGCGAGCTCTCAAGGTATCCAGATCCAATTTCTTTGTCCCGATCCAAGACCCCCCAAAACGCCCCAACACGAAAACCCCCTCCACCTACCCACCCTTTTTCCCCCGCCCCCCAACCCTCCACCTTCTCAACCCCGTCTTCTAACCACCCCAAACCCCCGCAACCCCACCGCCCACCCACTCACCCTCACCCTCTCCCCGCCCAAATACTGAAATATTCCCAATGCCCAATCCCAGGGCGCCCAGCACCATCTATCCTCCTCCTCCCCCTCCACGTCAGCATCCAAGACCGTACACTCAGATCCCGAGGGGAAGCCGCTGCTGGGTGCCACGTCCGGGCCGGGTTTAGCCAACGGGGGCCTTATGGCTAACGGCAATCATAAGGCTTAAACATAGTACGTATGTATGTACGTAACTAGTACGTATGTATGTACGTATGTAGTACGTATATATGTACATCCGTGCATAAGGGCTTATAACCGGATACACATATGCGGGGTTGAGTAGTAGGAAGAGGTGGAGGTGGGGTTGTGGAGTTGGGGGGGGGATCGGTTCCGTACATTGACTGGAGTGGGGGGCCGAGAGAGTGTGCTTTGTCCTGATACTGCTGCTGCTGGTGGTGGTGGTACACTGGTCTCTCCCGGTTGTTAATTTTGACGTTTATTGGTTCGTATGTACGATGTGCGTACGTGCGGTACGGCACTCTTATTACGGGATACACGGCGCACGTGTACACTCGCATTGAATTGCTCCACGAATCTCCAAAGGGGGGGGTCCCGAGTCGTCTGGCAGAAAGTATATTTTCTATTTTAAGTTTTTGAACCTTGTTATTGTGAGATTTTGGGGAGTCTGAGTGAGAGGGGAAAAGAAAGGGGGAAAGGAATTTGTGTGTTTCCTCCACCTCCTCCACCTCCTCCACCTCCCCCACGAATCCGCTGGAAAAGCGGATCTCTGATGAAAAGGGGGGAGGGGCGGGAGGGAGGGGAGGGGATGTACCGGGTAACACCTCCAGAAAAACCCGCATTCTTCTGTACCGGCAACTATAGCCGCATCGCGGTCTTTCCACGCTCTACATGTCGTACGTGAATTGTGGTGGTGCTGATGGAGGCCAGCGAAGCGGTGATGTCGGTGTTGTTGTTGCCGTTAAAATATACAACGGGTGAGAGGATGAGATAGGCGGAGGGATTTGATTTTGAATTTGTATTTGGGAATGAAATCCGACTTGGTGGTTGAGGGTAGAAAGGGTGGGTGGGTGGGTGGGTTGGCATCGGTGCGTTGACGTTGTAAGCTGTGTTGTTGGGGGTTGAAGGTTTCTGGTGCCGCCATCTGGGCGGGGGGCGGGTATTGGTGTGTGTATGGGAGAGATATTGTTGTTATTAGAGGTGAAGACGGTAAAATGAACGTGACGCTAAAATGTCGTGACAACATATATACATATCGTCACTTAAGGCGGCGAGGGGAGAGAGAAAAGAGGAGGAGGAGGAGGAGGAGGAGGAGGTAAGGGACAAGAGAACCGGGAGATGAGTGAAGGGAGATCCGGGGGGTGTTAGGAAAGAGGCTGCTCCAGGGGGGAAGGAGCTGGCGCTCCTTCGGCGAGTGGCGCGGTCCGGCGACTTCGGGACCCACGTAGGGGCTCCAACACACAGATAGGCGCATAGACATGCACGCACATACTCATAGAACAGATTTACTCTTACACATAATCACCGTAATCACCGTAACCACTGAGTGTACGATAACCTCCATGACGTGGCATGTGTCGTACTGTGTATGGGTACTGAGGGGATGACGGAGGGAAGTCGCAATGTGTGCTTTAGAGGGTGAGGGTTTTAACTTCTGTTAAAAGGTTTCTGGTGCTGGTTGGAAGGTTTTTGAGTTTTAGAGTGTATGTCGGTATGTATGTGCCGCACTGACGGGGTTTTAACCGACACCAACGGTTGGTTGGAACTTTAACGGTGGTCCAACCGATACATCCGATTTCTCGCGGACTGACTGACTGTCAAACTGACGGACGGACGGACGGACAAACTGACGGACACGAGATACAGTTGCCAATTAAAAAACAAGTAAGACGATTCATATCATCATATGCCACGTCCGCAAAATGTCCAACTGGCGCGAAGGCTTTAATTATTTCGTATGCCTTTTCTTCAGGTATGCTATCTGAAGCCACGTGGGTACGGCAGTAGTACAGCTCGGGGAGTTGGTTCGTCCAAGATGTCGTAGAAACAGAATCAAAATGTTCATGGATTCTGAATGTTTTACACATTATTCCCCTCCACGTAATACCACACTCAGCGGCGGCCGTCCTTTTCCCAGGTCCTCGAGTTCACCTCCAACTTGCCCTCTTCTCCCTTAAAACTTCGTCTCGCCGCTCTCCGGTCGAGAGAAGCCTCGACCCCTTTTTTTACACGAGTACCATTACAAGCACCGACACCTCCTGCCGTACACATGCCCGCACCCAGCCCCACACCATCAGCAATACATATATGTACGGAAACCCACCCACCCTAAATGGCACCCACCAAGGCACAACCACCCTCAGCCTGCGATTGGTTAATCTTAACAGGAAATATATATCATAGGGAATATACATACATACATACATACATACAGAGAAAGGTGAAGTAGCACCCCAAAATGGTCCCACCTCCATCTCCCCCATCCCCTTATGTGCCTTCATCAGCGTCTGGTGACCTACACATTCAGGTGGGGAGTGGAGGCGCCCCCCTCGGGAAGTTGGAGTGGGTTTTAGGGGTTTTAAGGTTCGCGACGGCGGCGGTCTGAATGTATATTCCCCCAGTGGGGGGGCCCCCTCCAGCTGGTCACTAAGTCCCCATTCCGCACCTTTCCACCTCGATGTGTAAATCCCCGGAAACACATACACACACACGTACAGAAAAACACACGTACAGAAAACACACAATGCTGGCTAGTGCTCACCCCTCAACACCGCAAGCTAGGCACCCCACTGCGGGACTACTCCGCCCCGCGGGTTTCAAATGAAATTGAAGTTCACATCTCCTTAAAATTTAATTCGTGGGGTGCGATCTTGATGTGTTTTTTCTGTCATTACGTGTTGTGCAGATGGGTTGCTGCTCGAGTCTCCGTTTTGCGGTTGTCATACTGTTCATGTACGGTTGTCGTACCGTTTCCGTACTATTGTCGTATTGTAATTGTCCGCAACTTTGCTCCGAAGAGGCAATACCCGCCAGATCGAACTCTTCACCGGAACACACACACGCCACCACATTCGCAGCTCGCACGCATCGAAGCCAACCAGTGCAAACCTGTCTACGTTTGAGCATCCGTCTGTCTGTATGTCCATCCGCCTGTACGTCCAACCACCACCATCACCATCATCATCATCGCCATCATCATCGTCATAACCATTGTCATCGATGTGCAGACACCAAATTTTACATTGGCAGATAGCTACGACAATACGGCAATGTAATCGCACGTCCTATACGGCAAATTCCGTTGTTTTGTACGACAAAACAGGTTAAACAGGGAGGCACGTTCATAACACACCTTTCAGAACCTATAAAGAAAATAAACCCTAAGAAAATAAACCTTAAAAACGCCCACAATAAAAAAAAGAAAAAGCATTATCGCAACAACAACAACAACATCATTATCATCATAATCAAGGGCTCCAAACAGGACAATATCGTGAGTGGGGTGAAACCGCCATCGCCGCATTTTTTGCAAAACGGCCACAAGCCTAGCCAACCCACGCACATTGCCCTTGCCCTCGCCCTCGCCTTTTCCTGTCCTCCCAACCTCCCCTCAACCACAACCCTGCAGTACGGTGGTGCAAACCACCTTTTCCAACTAACCCAACCGTGTACTGGCCCATGATTATCCGCGTGCCGTACAAAATCCCCTTCCCCCTGCTATTAGCCGCTATTTGCACCCATGCATGGATGGGATCACGGCGGTTAGTTTTGTAGTTAGGACGGTTAGTTGGTTAACTAAGAGTCGGTTAGTGTGATACCAGAAACGCACTAACCATTGAGGACGGCGTGTGACTTCCCTTCTCCCGTACAATCACTCAACCGCTGTCAGCTGTTCACTTGGTTACCCAAAGGAGTTTACAGGAAGGGAATTAAAGAATATGCCTTTCCCCCGGATTCGGTTAGACTCAACCGACAACAAACAACAACAAAAGACGCCGATTGACTGGATGTGCGTGTATCTGTGTGTTTTGCTGCCGTACTCAAAACGTGCCGACTGTCGACTGGGGTCGAGAGGGAGGTAAGAGATCTCCAATCAAGACGTTGGCGGTGGCGGCGGCGGCGGCGGCGGCGGCAGCAGCGACGCCCGACGTGCTTCGCGGCAAGCTGTTCGAAACCGAATAAAACGAACTTCCACTGTCAACGCCGCCACCGTCGCCGTCATCGTCGTACATTGCCGTACGTGCAGCGGCCTGACCTGACGCAGCACCGGAGCAAGGCGTCGGAGCAACAGTGCCGCCGCCGCTGCCGCCGCCGCCGTGCGCATGCCTACCGTTCTGCCGTACAGCATCTACGCCGCCGCTGCTGACCTCCAAGCTACGGCCGCTGCTGTTGCTGCCGCCGCTATGGCCCGCCGCCGCCGCCGCCGCCGTCGCCTGCTCCACACCCATTGTCCCGGCGGTACCGCGCGCCCCTCTCGTATCCGCCTGATATTCCCGCATCTGCAAGTGCTGTAGCTGCTGCTGTAGCAGCTGTAGCTGTTGTTCGTGGTTGTGGTTGGAGTCAGGGCGCGGTCGGGGGTGTTGGCAGTTGGGGGAATTGAAGAGGGAAGGACGAGCAACTTTCAGCGGGGACGCTGGCGCCAAGGAGTTAGGTACGGCAATTGTGCCCGCGGAGCTACTGCCGCCAGACACAAAACTGTGCGTACCGCCGCCGCCGCCGCCGCCGCCGTGATGTACGAGAATGCCAAAGTCGCTCAAGGAGCCGCGGGCCAACAATACGGCGGCGGCGCCGCTACTGCCGCCGCCGCCGCCGCGGCCTTCCGTATCGCTGCCGATTCGCCCCGCCGCCGCCAAGAGAGCAACATCTACCATGTCGGCGGCTGTAGCAAGGCAAACCTCCGTCCCGTGGCCGCTACTGCCGCCGCCGCCGCCACCACCGAACCCGCCACCGTTGCCGCCGGCGGCACCGCGGCCGCCGCCGTACACGTTTCCGTTATTCCCGTTGCCACCAAAAGAGATTGAGCCGTTAGAGCCCTGGCAAGCCGCAGGCATTACCACAGCGCCATCGCCGCTGGCGCCTTTGACGCCAACGTACTGCGGTACGACAGGTGCCGGCCCTGTACGTCCGAACAAGGAAAACCGCAGCAACGGCGAACCGGTAAGTGGGGAATGCTGCTGCTGCTGCTGCTCCGAGTTACCGTCCCGGCTCACAACGGAAGAATTCGGGCTGGCGGCGGCGGCGCCGCCGCCGCCGCCGCCATCTTCACCCCCCGGCGGCAAGAGGAGCTGTTCCGCGACCCTGGACGAGCGGCTCATCCGGGACTGTGCCAGCTGTAGCAGTAGCGGCGAGCCGCCGCCGATGCTGCCCCTGTTGATGGAGTTGGATGTGGTTATTCCCGTCAAGGGGGTGCTGCCGCCCCCTCTGGTGCCGCCGCCGCCGCCGCCACTACCGCTGGCGGTGGCCGCGGCGGCGACCGCCGCCGCGGCAGCGGTGGCGGAGATGACACCGCCGATGCCGCCGCCATGGTACGCGGAAAGGGATCGCCGCCGGGAGCTGCCGCCGCCCTGCAGCAGCAGCCCGGAAAGACCGCTTTGCGGTCGTCGGAAAGATCGTGAAGGCGACGGCGACAGCGTTTCTGGCATGTGCGCCGGCGGCAGTGATGCTGCCGCTGCCGCTGCGGCGGCGGCGGCGGCGGCGCCACCGCCGCCGCCGGCGTTGAGATCGCCTCCAGTGGCGAGACTTGTCAGGCTTCGATGCTGACCTCGACCTAAGCTAGAAGGCCGGTTGTGTACGGCACGACCAGACCAGCTTCCGCCGCCGCCGCCACCGGCGGAGGCGGCGGCAAGGTGCGACGGGTTCTCTACCGCCACCGCCGTGGCGCCCGCCACACTCGCCGGCAGCACAGGCACCGGCGCCGCCGCCGGCGCGCCGTTTGGCACGGCGACGGCGGCAGTGCCCATGTCTGTCGTACTAGCGGCGGCTGCGGGAGAGCGGCCAACCAAGCTAGGTGTGTGCGAAGGGTGGTGGTGCGGATGCGAGTAGGGGTGGGGGTGGGGGTATATGTTGCTTCCAGAGGGCGAGACAACCCCGCCGCCGCCACCGCCGTACGGTCCCGCCGCCGCCTCGTTGACCATAACCATCGACCTGACCTCCAACGCCGCTGCCGGCGACACCTGCATGAGTGCCTGTGTGCGTGTGCGTGTGCATGTGTGTGTTTTGCACGTGAGGGGAAGCCGGGGAAGTGGGGGGGGGCCCGAGGAATTGAAGGGGAGAGCGATACACTTGCATTTCGTGAGGGGAGGAAATCCGAATGCGAGTGTGGGGGTGCGAGGAAAGTGCGGCTCCCCCGGCCCCCCGGGTACAGGTGTACTACATACCACACAGAAAAAACACATGCACACGCGTGCCGAAATAATCCCCCCCACACACACACACATACGCACACGCGCGCACACGCTCGTACCTTGTGTAACGCCACCACCAGTGCCGAAGCAGTTGGTCGTTTTTTTGGATCCTGAGCCCAGCACGCGTGAGCCAGGTTCCGGTAGTGGTCGGGTGTGTTGGCGGGAAACTGGGGTCGCAACCCGCGGCTCGTGTACGAGTGCACACGGGCGGCGGATAACCCCGCGAGCGCGGGAATGCCAACCAGAACCTCCCACATCAACATGCCGAAACTGTACGACAGACGTACGGACGGGGTGGACGTTTGTGACTTCATAGGTTTTGTAGAGTGTATGGTACGGCAATAATCGAAACATGTATTATAAGCGTTGCGTGATGCAAAGATTCAGCTGGAGCTAGACACAAACATACATGCAAACAAACATACAAACATACATACCTGTAAATGTCCACAGAGCCGTCCAGGACCTGCCCGGGGAGAAAGGCCTCCGGGGCCAGGTGGGAGGGGGTGCCCAACACATGGCCCGACAGAAAACCGAAACGAAGGGGACATCCGCCCCCCTCGGATACTGCCGCCGCGGCGGCGGCGGAGGCAGATAGCGCGGCCGCAGCGGAGGCCGGCGCCGACACCGGCGTCGCCGACGTCGCGCTGACGGCGGTACCGCCGCCGCCGCCTCCGGCGGCAGCGGCAGCCGCCACCGCAAATGCAGTTTGCGGAGGCGACGACACTGCCGCCGCCGCCGCCGTGGCGGCGGCGGCCGACGGCGCCGCCTCCATGCCGGCGGACGATACGGTGGTTGGCGGTGTTGGCGGCGGCGGCGGCGGTGGCGGCGGAACCTCGCGCATGAGCTGTACACACCCAAAGTCGGAGAGCTTGCACGTGAAGCCGCGTGGATCGTGGGGAGCGGTACGGAGCAGGACATTGCTGGGTTTTAGCTGCAGTACAATTTCCACGGAGGGAAGGTGTGTGCGGTGTATTTAGTGGATACGACGACAGGGAGAAGATAGTGAGGTGAGGTGAGGTGACGAAAGGGAGGGAATCAAAACACCCTACGTCCACACACACGCGCACATGCAAAAACACAAAAACACACACACGTACATACATACACACACACAAACGCAGGTACATCCTCAGTGTGACACAGGACACACATGCGTACGGACATACATACGGACTTACATCGCAATGCGCCAGCCTCATGGCGTGCATGTGTCGAATGGCGAGAGCCACTTCCAACAGCGTCAAATAGATAAACTGGAGGGGGGTCAGTTGGCAGTTGGCAGTTGCCGGGGGCAGCGGGGAAAACAGTTGGCGCGAGAGAGTGGGAGAGAGAAAGAGGGAGAGTGTGAGGACTGCGAGTGTGGGGAGGGGGAGACGAGCCAGGGACGATTGAAAAGCAGGTACCAAAGTAGATACCGATACACGGGGAGAAAGAGAGAGAGAGAGAGAGAGAGAGAGAGACGGATACTGCAGCAAGAAATCGTGAGGGGGGGTTGAGGGGGGAAAGCAGCAAGAGGGGGAAATTACCAATGACCAGCACTGACCAGTACTGACCAGCAGTTGGACCGTTGGGGCGGAGCAGTACGGCGAAAGGGAGTTCGCGGCCATGGTGGGAGGAGGAAACGAGTTGGTGGGGCAAGAAGGTTCGGGAGGGCTCCAAAGACGGGGACCCCATACACACACATTTTTATATACATACGCACATACATACATGCACACACGTCCTCCCTCCTCCCCCCTTCCCCCTCCCTCTCCCCCCCCTTCCACATGTGCGAGCCAACACACACACAGACAGACAGACAGACAAACAGACAGACACACCTCAAAATTAGGCTGCAGCTCCGCCGCTGCCGCGAGTGCCGCCGCCGCCCCAGCTGCCCCCGCCGCCCCCGCCCTGGCGGCGGGCAATGCCGCGGGGCTTGTCGCAAGACGGGCGTCCCGACGGAAAAACACACCACG